CTAGTTCATTAGCGTTACCATTTACTTGTCGTCCACGTAGCCAATGACAGACCGATGTTGACGGGACATTGTTCTCTTAAGCAAAACTTTCCCCGGTATGGTTGTGCGGTGTTACTTCTTTTTAGAGGCTAACGCTCGTGTATGCGTTTTGTCTTTTGTTGACCGTTGGTGTCGTGTCGTTGCCCCTCGGTCTATGACATCCTCGACCGTCAACGATTACGGTTTGAGCTTTTCTTTCGATCTTTACCATTGTTGTCACGTCAGCTTTCATTAACACGTGTGTCTGTTTTTTAGTGATCGAGCAGACTTCGTCGCCTAGCAAGGACAACACGAGTCCGGTTCCATCCGATCCGGTTGAGGTGAATGGTGATTATTCGAGCGGCGACGATTCAGACGACGATGATACCGAAAGGATTTCGATCGATCATGTATACTTTGAACTTTTGACGATTGTACTTGGCTAAGATTTAGTAATTTCCATGATGTCGTATTTGCTGCTTCGCTCGTTCATAAACGATTGATCTTCGCTTAGCACAGCCCTTGACCAATCTACGCATCCTAGATCTAGGTTCCGCTCAGATGACGCTTTAAAACCCACACCATCAACAAGTTGCCTGATACACGTTACAGAATATTTTTTTCAGATGGTAGTTGAAAAGTCTGAAAAGTTGAAAATGTCGGAATTTTTATCGAAAAGCATCGATCCGTTATAGCCTCGCTGAAAGTTTAACTGTATTCGACAAGCTTAACACTTGTCATTAAATCTTGTGCAGAAATTTGAAGGTTTCAGCTGTTTAGGACCTGCTTTTGAAAACGCATCAAAGGGCGAAGAAGATGGACGATCCGAATTCACAGCTGTTGGCGAAGAGCGTATTTTCAGGGCTGCTCTGCTTTGCAACAGTAAGCGATATGTTTGACATCCGCCGTTTACCGTGTGTTTCTCGTATTGACTGGTACGTTTCTAGGGCTTGTGCGTGTCACTCATTGGACCGACGTTGCCAGACCTACAATACCTGACCGGCGCCTATTCGTTGTCACAGACCTTGATTGTCGTGTCGGCTAGCTCTGTTGGCATCATTTCCGGTATCCTTGCAGGTGAGCTGATATGCGGATGGCAACACGCACGCAGATATCAATACTGTTTCTTAAGAAGACAAATTCGGTGTGTTTGAGGCAAATGGGTCCACGGCATTCCAATTTCAGTCGCTCATATGACTTAAACCATAATGAAGCTACTCGCTAGCACATTTGCGGCCAAGTTTTCGTAATATCTTTGACCTTTAGTGTTCGTTGCATTTGTTTCATGCTGAATTGCACCAAGATGTTGCGCATTTTCTCATAATTCGTGCTCTGTTTTCCACCTTGACCGTTGGTGATGACTGAACAACCAGATACGTTAGCTTCTTTGAGCAACAAAAGCAGGTAGTTGTTGACAGTGTTTAAATAGTATGAGTACCCTCTCAGAATATCTCCATTGTCTTCTCTTTATACTCTTTGATAAAAAGTGATCGATGTTTTGGTCTGTGCATAAAATTTTAATTTCAGGTTTTTTCATTTTGTGTGAAAACTGTAATTAACTAAATTTTTCGACCATTGTTATTGTTCTTGGTAGACTCTGGTTGTTCGACGTCTTTTCTGGTACCTGTTTAATCGGTGAAAGTTGTAGCCGTTTATATGCCTCGTTCACTCCTTTTCGGTACATGTCACTCGTTTCTGCATAGCGTAACATCTAGCGAAATGGCATCACCATTCCTCGTTTGCATGCATATGCTCTCCTTCTTCATTCATTTTTCACTTTAGAACACAGACACGAAGGGCAAGAGATTAATGCTAACTGTAGACTCTGCTCGTCAAATCGTTGTAATTAAGAGGAAGCAATCATTTCGTAAACGATGCAATGATTTGCTTGCTGTTTGAAGGTATTGCTTTACGTATTCGTTCATTGTCGTTGAATAAAATGAATAAATTTAATTTTTCGTTCTGTTTCAGGCGACTGTCTGTTTCGTTGGTTGTCCCCTAGGAAAGTGCTTTCTTTTTCACTAACTGCCTCAGGCTTCTTGCTCACATTTATTCCGTACTGCAATGGCCTGAACAAATGCTGTACGCTTATGATTCTGCAAGGAATCTTCCTAGGCTTGGTTGAAAAAGGTAAGCATCTTTGATTCGTTGTGCATGTACGCTTATATTTGTCTACTTACTACTTAATGCTGCGTTTTAAATGCTATAATCGATATCAGTTGAATTACTTTGTATCGTTTGACACTTTGAACCCACTTTTACTGTGATACTGAACAGCAGTTTTTATTCAGTCGCTATCTGCGCCTTTCTAGTCTTCGACTCATCATTAGCTGTCTCAGTTCGTTCTTGGCAATCATTTTGATGAATTGTTCTTGCCCTCGTCATTTTTCAGTTTTTTCCTATCTTCTCCTTATTTATCTGATTTAATTTTTGCTTCTAGTTCTCGCATAGCAACAGTTTTATGTGCACATCACACATCCTTCACTAGTCCAATTAGCTGACTTTTTTGAAAACTGATTCTTTTCTCTTTATTAATATCTCTCGATGGCAGCTCTCGTCATCTGTCATAGGATCCTCCTCAGAA